CCTCCCCCTCTTGAGGCACAACTGCTTCCCAGCCTTCATTCCGCTGCACGTTCTTCCACATGCCTGATCAGGGCAACTCGCCTGGGCGTCGTTTCTGGATGGGCTGCTGGGGCCAAGCGAAGCGTCTAGAATTAACACCTGCACTATGAAAAGATACAGTGAAGCAGCAGATGACCGAGGCAACACAGACAAGTCTACTCTTTGACCTTACAGGAGTCATCGCAATGAAGGCCGAAGCCGCTGACTACACCAATGGGCAATGCCGAATAAAACTTGGGATAGATGCGGCGAACCGAATTGGCTTGAGCCAAAATGGCTATGAACCCTCTTGGGGGTCTCTTGAGCCGACGTCGGGCGAGCTGTCCAACCTGTTGGGCCGTCTCGGGCTGTCGGAAGCCCAAAAAGGCGAGAACCCGAAAAACCTTTAAACACCGACGGAAAAGGAATGCGTTTGGCCTCCTGAGACCCTCTGGGGAGTTCGCTTGAGGGCCTCTGGGACCATCTTGTGGCTCTCTTGGACAATCCCGAGGCCATCTGAAGCCATCCTCGAACTTTTCTGGCTGGTCGTGGGCTCTCTTGGAGACATCTTTGGCCGCCTTGGAACCCCTTTGAATTTCTCGTGGGCCGTCTTGGGGACCACTTGGTCTCTTCGGGCGGCCTCTTAGTGGAGGCCGGTCCACAAGAAGCGTTCCACAAGGAACCCAACCCTGAGACCCCAGGACGTCCATGGATTTTTGATGTGGGAGCGTCGCGCTCTCCATCGCAGAACCATAGAAACCCAAGAAACCCAGGGCACCCTGGAGGCAAGCAGGGTGTTTCTTGGAATGGGTTTCCACTGTAAGCCGTCCTGGGAGGGGTGAGGTGTTACCCGGGAGTGACCGCGCTTCGCCCCCTCCTGGACCCCCCCCTGTAGGGCCTCGCCCCACCAGAACGTGGTCACGGGTACAGCCAACCCGTATCATAAGGATGCACGATAAAAACGCAAGGGCCTTGAAGGCCATGTTGACACTTTGCGAGCGGGGCGCGGCCAGCGAAAGCGGCCAAGGATGGACCGAGGAGGCAAGGATGTAAGGGCACCTTTGGGAAGGTTGCCAATCCTTCCTATGCGGTTTAAGTGTAGGGTTTCGCCCCACCAAAACGTGATCACGCGTGCCTCGCTCTTTCCGTCACCTGGGCCAGCACGGGAACGGAAAGAGCTCTCCAGGAACCTGCCCGAGTAGGGTCATGGCAGGCATGCCCATGTGTGTGGCCTCCCTTCTGCCTCTTCCGCCAGCGCAGTCCCTCCGCCTAGCCGCCGACGCAAAAAAGTGTGTGGCCTCCCGAGGCCCTCTGAAGATCCTCTTGAAGGCCGCTTTGGCCGTCTTGGCCCAAGCTCTTGAGCGGTCTTCGGCTCTCTTGGAACGCTCTTCGGCCTTTCGGGACCCTCGTGGACCTCCATTGGGCCGTCTTGGGAACCTTTGGGGGGGCGCGCATGTTACCAAGGATTGGTCCCGTTTCGCCCCTCCCCTAGAACAACTCCCAAGAGGGCCACTCATACCTCGCTCTTTCTGTCATGCTTCTTTGTTGTCCCGAAGATGCTTTGCAGGGCCGACCGCCGCCCCACGTCGCACGTGTCGTTAGAATATCGGCCTTAATGGATTTGCTCTAAAGCGCTCTGTTCGGCCTTCAGGTGGCCAAGATGGCCTCCAAGACGACCTCCAAAACAGCCAAGACGACAACAAGACGACACAAGATAGCCCAAAACAACGCCAGAGGCTACAAAGATGGTCTCAAGATGGCTCGAGAGGCTTCCAAGACGGCCGAAGAGGGTCCCGAGACGCCCTCCAGGAGAGACCGAGGAAGCAAAAGCCAGTGATCTTCTGTAGGTTGCTCAATTAATTTGAGGTTTTCGCTTGTTTGGTCGTGCGACCGTCCGACATGACCCAAGAGGCCTCCGAGAAAGCTCCAGGACTGCCCAAGAGGCCGTCAAGAGGACCCCAAGTCGGCCAAAGGGGACCCCGAGATCGCCCAGGAGCCGCCCAAAACAGCCCTGAAGCGCTCCAAGAGGGCACCAAGATGGCTCAGAGAGGCCCCCAAGACGGCATCCGAAGGCCCAAGAGGCCCCAAAGAGGCCCAAAGAGGCCTCCGAGGAAGCGAATTACCCGAGAAATACCCAACCCTTTCTCCACGCAAAGCGACTACTTATATAAACGCTGCACACAGAAGAACACACTGCGAGATGCACAGCACTATGAAAATCTTCGCCTAACATTGTCGGGCCACGCGCGTCAGTACGAACGAGCGCAGGCCAGCCTAAGGTGGGGGAAGAAGCGTAAAAAGAACAGTGTTTGGTACGCAATTTCCCCTTCGGTGGTCTGGTGGTCTCGTCGTCTGGTGGTCTGGTGGTCTGGCGGTCTGGTGGTCTGGTATTCGGGTGGTTGGTGGTCAGGTGGTCAGCCAGTCAGGTGGCCAGGTGGTCAGGCGGTCAGGCGGTGATGTGGTCAGAGACTCACGTGCTCAGGTGGTCGGGTGGACAGGTGCTCAGGTGGTCAGATGGTCAGGTCAGCAAGGTGGTCAGGTGGTCAGGTGGTCAGGTGGCTGGGTGGTCGAGTGGTCGGGTGGTCGGGTGGTCGGGTGGTCTGGTGATGGTCGGGTGGTCAAGTGGCCCAGCGAACGACGACGCAAGAAGAGGGGTTGGGCGACCGGCCTGCGGAGGGGGGTCAGGTCAGGTCAAGGCCGTGCCCAGACGGCGCGTCTGTGCAGAATTTGTTGGTTTGAGCTCAACGCCCGCACAGCCTTGGTGAACACAGCAGCGGCGGCTGGGAAAGCGCTGCTGGCAGTGAGGGAGACCTCACTGACCGAAAGAGTACCTCCAGCAGCCCCATGGGCTAGGAGGCCCAGGCCACACGACGGGCGACCGCCCCGTGGCCAGAGCAAAGGAAAAACAGTCCAGCGCCGCAATGATGCCGATGCGAGGTGCGCCAGGGGGCAGCTGAATATTTGAATGTACAATGCTCGTGACGGTTACCGTCACAGTGGCAGCGGGGTGAGGCGGAGAAGGGGGAAGAGCAAGGAGGAAGAACTGACTGTATGCACTCTCCGACACCGCCTCACGTAAGTATGATTATGCTTCATAGGAGGAGGAGGAGGAGGAGGAGGAGGAGGAGGAGGGGGGGGAATAGCGTATCAGATGGGTGCCTGGTACGCTGTTTCCCCCTATTCCGTTTTGGGCTCGGCACCCCTCTGCTTCGCAGCGCCCTTTGCGAGACGATGCCCCTCCCCAAGCTGATTAAAAGATGACCCTTGTTTCTGGCTGCTGTGCATCACCCTCTGCTAATCGAGGCCCCTCCCCAAGCTGAGTTGTTCCCAACATCCTGTGGTGTTGGATCCTCGTCTTGAAGATACAGCGCCCGGCGTTGCTCCTTCTTCTCCTATTCCTCCTCCTCGCCCTCCTCCCACCCCTGCCTCTGCCGTTCGCATGTCCACCATTTCAGCGCAACCAGTAAAACTCTTGGTGGCCACATAGGGAGCTTCACCGAAGGCCCCAATAGCTGTGACCAGATGCGTCCCCGCCACCCATTTCGGCACACCCCTCACACGCTTCGTGGAACTTTGAGGAACGCTACCGACAGCCCCAGTGGCTATGACCACATGCGTTCCCACCACCCATTTCGGCACACCACTCACACGCTTCGTGGCCACATAGGGAGCTCCACCGAAGGCCCCAGTGGCTGTGACCAGTGACCACATGCATCCCCGCCACCCATTTCGGCACACCCCTCACACGCTTCGCGGCCCCCTAGGGAGCGCCACCGAAAGTGCCAGTGGCTGTGACCACATACATCCCCGCCACCTATTTCGGCACACCACTCACACGCTTCGAGGCCCCATCGGGAGTGCCACCGAAAACCCTGGTAGCTGTGACCACATGCGCTACCGCCACCCATTTCGGCACACCCCTCACACGTTCCGTGGCCCTATAGGGAGCGCCACCGAAAGCCCCAGTTGCTGTGACCACATGCGCTCCCCGCCACTCATTCCGGCGCACCCGTCACACGCTTCATGGCCCCATAGGGAGCTCCACCGAAGGCCCCAGTGGCTGTGACCATATGCGTCCCCGCCACCCATTTCGGCGCACGCCTCACACGCTTCGTGGCTCTTTGAGGAACGATACCGAAAGCCCCAGTGGCTGTGACCACATGTCCCACCACCCATTTAGGCACACCCTCCATCACACGTTTCGTGGCCCCATAGGGAGCTCCACCGAAGGCCTCAGTGGCTGTGACCACATGCGTCCCCGCCACCCATGTCGGCACATCCCCTACATGCTTCCGAAGCCCCATAGGGAGCTCCACCGAAGAGGATACGCACCACTGCGGCACTCACAACTGCATATAGTTGGGTCCTTCGCCAGGATAAGGATACCCATTGGTGCTACGCGTGCCTCTCTGCTATGCAGCTCCATCTGCTGGACGAGGCCCGTCGCCAAGTTGATTTGAAATCCCTGGTGCTAGACCTGCCTCTCTGCTGTGCATCACCCTCTGCTGGACGAGGCCCCTCGCCAAATTGATTGAACAAGAATCCCGGGTGCTCGACGTGCCCCTCAGCTGTGCATCACCCTCTGCTGGGGAAAGCACATGACCAACTGACCGCCTGAGCGCCAGACCACCAGACCACCTGACCACCTGACCACCTGAGCACCTGACCACCTGACCGCCTGACCGTCTGACCGCCTGACCGCCTGACCACCTGACCACGTGACCACCTGGGCGCCTGACCACCTGACCACCTGACCACCTGAGCGGCTGAGCACCTGGCCACCAGCCCGCAGAGCGAGTCACCACAGAGGACCCTTCTGGCAGGTGGGGTCGGGGGCGCGGGGCATGCGGCAGCAAAAAAAAGGCACTGATGCCGATGCTCCCCAGAACTCTCTCCAGGCGCGTGCTGGCCAGGATGCCACAGCGAATCCGACGAAGGCAGCGGCAGCGGCATCGGCATTCTCTCCCCCCGCGGGCAGGGGCCTCAGGTAGAAATACGTCCCCGTCGTGGAGCCCAGGTCCCGGACGGCGAACTCGGTGCCCAGGCAGCAGATCTCGCAGTGGTACCGACTCACGCCGGCCTTGGCCGCGCCGCGGGAAGTGGGGGGGAGGAGGTCGGGGGCAACGTCAGGGGGGGGATAGGCTCAGGAGGAGGACAAGGACGAGGAGGAAGAGGAGGAGGAGGAGGACAAGGACGAGGAGGACGAGGACAAGGAGGACGAGGACGAGGATAGGCTCAGGAGGAGGAGGACAAGGACGAGGAGGACGAAGACGAGGACGAGGAGCGGGGGGAGGAGGTCGGGGGCAACGTCAGGGGGGGATGGACTCAGGGGGAGACGCCTCGACCCCCGATCGCCCAATCGTCGCCGACAAGGGCCCCATAGCCCACTCCGCCGAGGGGGAGGAGGAGGGGGAGGAGGGAGGAGGAGGAGGAGGAGGAGGAGGAGGAGGGAGGAGGAGGAGGAGGAGGAGGAGGAGGAGGAGGAGGAGGAGGGAGGAGGCGGAGGAGAAGGAGGATGAGGAGGAGGAGAAGGACGAGGACGAGGAGGAGGCGGAGGAGGAGGAGGAAGAGGAGGAGGAGGAGGAGGACAAGGACGAGGAGGACGAGGACGAGGACGAGGAGTGGGGGGGGAGGTCGGGGGCAAGGTCAGTGGGGGGATAGGCTCGGGGGAAGACGCCTCGACCCCCCATCGCCCAGTCGTCGCCGATAGCCCACTCCGCCGAGGGGGAGGAGGAGGAGCAGGAACAGGAACAGGCTATCCCACGTAGTGGTTCATACGATTAAGCCTCGCCCGCTCAGAGGACCTCGGAGAGATTGCGAAGCAATAGGTACATGGAGCACTCCACCCCCTGACCACGACGAGGGACGCGACGATCAGGAAGACCCGCACCAGGACAGAAAAGCCGTTCACCATATTGCGTGTGACGCTCATGTCCCTCCAGCTGCCGATGCCCAGGGGCGGGATGAGATACTCGAAAACAAACTGACCACCAGAACGCCTCTTGACACCAAGCAAACAGCGAACATAGATTCCCACAAAAGAACATAATATCGCCTTGCTTGCCCTGCGGGCCTGGGCCAGGCTCAGCCAGAATGCAGCCAAGGCCCCTTCGATGCCAAAGAGTATAAATGCGCCCAAGTTCGCGAAACACCGCTTAGCATATTGCCCACAAGATAAAACCCGCTCCGCCGCTTCTGACACATCGATTGAGGCAGACTAAACAAGAAAAGCGAACCAAACAAAGTGGGGCGCCTTGCTTGCCCAGTGGGCCTGGGCCAGGCTCAGCCAGAATACAGCGCTGCCAAGACCACGAATACGATGCTAAAGAGACAGACATTCTTGAGGTGGCCCAGCAAAATGCCAGAGCGAAAATTCCAACCACATACGCAGAAGTGAACAGCTACTGTTGCTTGCAATTGTCGGGGCTGCTGCCTGAAGGAGACGAAGACGACGCTGCATGTGGCTGCCCAGGCTGCGCCGTCATCCGATTCAACGCGGCAGCCGCCTCACACGAGATCGGGATGGCTCCTCTGCTCGGCCGAACTGGAGCGGCTGCAGCAACAGCTCCTCGCCCCTGAGCCAGAAGGAGACCATCGGCTACCAATGCTGCTCTCCGCCTCTGCCACGCGGTGTCAGCCGCCACGTCGGCAGGGCTCTGCTGTGGAGGATCGTGCGAACCCGCGCCGCTCACCCTCTCGCGAAAGTCGACAGGAGGCGGTCCAGCCTGCATGTCGGCAGGCGCTGAAACTTGTTGCTGCGGTAGAGAGTCGCCAACTGGGGCTTCGCCCTTCGTCGCACCACCTGTTGGCACCGCCTCGCTGTCCCTCCCCAGAGCAGCCAACCCCCTCGGGGCCTCTGGTGGGATAGATAGGGGCGGGACGGCTGCCGCTGTTGCAGGCGATGCGCCAGCCAGGTCGCCCTCGGGCGCCGGACCAGGGGGAGGCTCAGGATGGACTCGATCGGCAGGGTCAGCATGATCAGCAACCAGTGCCTGGCGGAGCGCACTGGCTAGGCGAGTCAAGCCTTGGCCCCTGTGCTGCTCAACCTCCGTGAACGCGTGCAGGAGCCTCATGACCGCCCGTCCGTTCGCGCGAGCATACTGAGCTCGGCGCTCAGCTGCAGTGCGATTGGGACGACGGCGCCTGGGCTCTGGCTCCATGCCGGATGCGCGAAAGGCGAGGACGTGGTCGGAGCGGGAAGCTCCTGTGGTGCTGGCTTGGGGTTCGAGCAAAATTGGCTCGAGCCAAGCTGGTCACTTGGGGGGGAGGAGGAGGAGGAGGAGGAGGAGGAGGAGGAGGAGGAGGAGGAGGAGGAGGAGGAGGAAGAGGAGGAGCAGGAGGACGACGACGAGTCCGAGGAGGAGGAGGAGGAGGAGGAGGAGGAGGAGGAGGAGGAGGAGGAGGAGGAGGAGGAGGAGGACGAGGACGAGGACGAAGAGGAGGAGGAGGAGGAGGAGAACGAGGACGAGGACGAGGACGAGGACGAGGAGGAGGAGGAGGAGGAGGAGGACAAGGACGAGGAGGACGAGGACGAGGACAAGGAGTGGGGGGGGAGGTCGGGGGCAAGGTCGTGGGGGGATAGGCTCGGGGGAGACGCCTCGACCCCCAATCGAACCCAGAATGTGCGGATTCGCAATCGCCGGCCTATCGTTGGGTCGGGCGCGTCCCCCTACAGGCGTACTTTGGAGGACAATTAAAAACAGCAAAAAAATACAAAAACAGAGAAAAGTTGTCGAAATTTCGTCCTGGCTCACTTTTTGACTACCTTTGCGTCTCCCTCCTGTAGAGGGACAGGCCCGACTCAAGCCTATCATAGCCCGTCGCCGATCTGTCAGTGATGCATCGCCGAATGCCAGGTCGATGCTTCCCCCCCCCAACACACTCGGCTACACGCAAGAGTGACCCTGGGTAAGAGTGACCTTTGGTGCGCAACTTTTTGGAGGCCGCTAGGGGACCCAGCACAACCGCGCAAGACGCTGCTACCGCATCGCGTTCGGCCACCTGGGGACCAGTCTGTGCCCGCACCAAAAGGTCACTCCGGCGAAAGGTCACTCCTACGTCCAGCTGACACACCCGGAGCCGGCCCCCCTCCCGAGCGTTGCCCGTCAGGAGGGCGGGTGTCGGGGGAGGGGGGCCCGGGCCCCCTGCCGAGCTCGGGGGGGGGCGGGGGCAGCGGGGGCCACCCCGCGGGGGAGTCCAGGACGGAGCCACGGGGCAGCGCAGGCGGCGGCAGCAGCGGCGGCGGCTACTGCGGCGGAGGCGGCGGCTGCGGTCGGGGAAAGCGACGACGATGACGACGACGACGACGACGACGACGACGACGACGACGACGACGGCGACGACGACGACGACGACGACGGCGGCGGCGGCGGCGACGACTCACAGACAGACAGGCGGTGAGCAGGCCGGGAACGGTCCAAGCGACTGCCCCGCGGGGTGCCGAAACTGGCATCCTGGGCCACCGAAGAGGCAAACCGCCCGAGGCATCCCCACAGGCTGCTACGAAAGCAGACGAGCCTAGGCCACCACACAGGCAAACCGCCCGAGGCATCCTCACAAGCTGCTCTGGAAGCAGGCAGGGTCTGGGCCACCAAGCAGGCATACCACCCGAGACCTCCCCACAATCTGGCCGCAAACGGACAAGTGAAACCACCCCTGGCGGTCCTCCTGGGTGCGCTGAAACGAGCAAATCGCCTGGGTCCTCCCCACAGTCTGCTCGGAAAGCAGGGGAGTCTGGGCCACCAAGCAAGCAAACAGTCTGGAACCTCCTCACAATCTGGCCGCGAGCGAGGCCCTGAAACCACCCCTGGCGGCTCCCCGTTGCTTGCTGAGATATCACCTGAGACATCGCCACACTCTGGTCTGAAAGAAGGCAGGTCTTCCACACCACACCAGCAAATCGCCTGAGACCTCCCCACACTTTGGCCTCGAACGGAGAAATGAGACCACCCCTGGCAGCTCTCCTGGGTGTGCTGAAACGAGCACATCACCCGAGTCATCCCCCCAGTGTGCTCTGAAAGCAGGGGAATCCTGGACACCACGCAGGCAAACCGCCTGAAACCTCCTCACAATCTGGCTGCGAACGGGGCCGTGCAACCACCCCTGGCGGCTCCTCCTTGGGATACTGAAAGCAGCCAGTCGCCTGAGGCATGCTCACCATATGCTCTGAAAGCAGGAGAGCCTGGGCCAACAGACAAGCGATTGCTGAGAAGATCGCCTGAGACATCCTCACACTCCGGTCTGAAAGCAGGCAGGTCTGGGACCTGCAGGCAAACCGCCCGAGACCTCCCCGCAGTCTGGCTGCGAGCGGAGGAGCGCAACCACCGCCGGCGGCCCCCCGTGGGGTGGTGAAACCAGCAGGCCGCCCGAGTCGTCCCCCCAGTCTGCTCGGAAAGCAGGGAAGTCTCAGCCACCACACCTTGCCGTCGCTCGGACGTCCATTTCCCTGTGCATTTGTCGGTTTGTGCGTGGTTTTTTCGCCAAATGATCAAGGGTGGTCCTCGATGGTCCTCGCCGAAAGAAAAATGCACACGTCCGAGCGATGCCAGGGCTCTGAAAGCAGGGAAGTCTGAGCTACCACACAGGCAAACCGCCTGAGACTTCCCCACACTCTGGCCGCGAACGGGGCGGTGCAGTCACCCCCGGCGGCTCCCCCATTGGGGTGCTGGGACGGGCAGATCGGCCAAGACATCCTCACAACAAGTGTGAGCGGGCATGCGTGTGAGAGAGTCTGAGTGCGAGTGGGGCAGAGGGCATATGAATCTGAGTGCGAGTGAGTCTGATTGTGAGCGAGTCTGGGTATGAGTGAGTCTGAGTATTAGTGAGTCTGAGTGTGAGGACGAAAGCGGAAGGAGGAGGAGGAAGAGGTGAGTCGGAGGCGTCCGAGTAATAACGAGGACCGCATCTTAGGAAGAGGGGGGGGAATGACCCATCGTGAGATGCGCGATCAGAAAGAAAACCAGTTTGCACTGAAGGAGGAGGAGGAGGAGGAGGAGGAGAAGAGGGAGGAGGAAGAGGAAGAGGAGGAGGAGGAGGAGGAGGAGGAGGAGGAGGAGGAGGCGCATGAGAAGGAGGATGCGC